AAGGACAAGGGCTGACGATTTTGAGACATCTGCCAGCTGCTTATAGAATAATTCATCTCCTTCATCATCCTGGTAGGGCGGTCTGTAACAGACACCTATGATGATGTCGGCCTTGTTGGTCTTCCCCCTGATTCTGACCCACAGGCACTCAACCTTATCGTTGCTGACCTGAATTTCAACAGAGTCAAGGGACTCCCTAACATATAAAGCCACCCCTCCACCTCTCCTACCCTGCCTGTTCTTTCTGAAGAACTTGTAGCCTTCCATAGCAGCACTCCAGTCATGTGAGTCATCCCATCACGTTTCTGTGATGGCGACTACATCATAGCCTTCATGCTGCACAGTGGCTTCCAGTTCCTCTTGTTTGTTGCCCATACTGCGTGCATTAGTGTACATGCACTTCAGGTGGGCTGTTGATTTAATTCTTAACTCAGGCTTTCCATCCCTAGGTTGATCACTGGAAAGCCCGGTTTCGACCCCTTCCCCCTTCAAGCCTAGTTTAAAGCCCTCTTGATCAGCCTCGCTAATTTATGGGCTACAGTCCTCTTTTTCTTCTTAGACAGATGAATCCCATCTGATTTTGAGAGACTGGGTACCATGGAGTTTGCCCCATGGTCAAAGAACCCAAAATTTTGATGGTGGCACCAATCCTTTAGCCATCTGTTTAGGAGTTGGGCTTTTTCACTCCTCTCTTTATGGTTTAGTTCTTTGGCTGAAATCTGGATTTTGAGTTCACTTTCATTTTTTGAGTTGTTCATGTGTGTTTGACAGCACTAAATACTTAGAGATATATACATTATATCAGTGCTGTCCCGTATGTATAATTCTTATAATCACAGGTGAAAATATGTTAGAAAAAACTATCAGAAGAGAATTTACAAGATCTGAAGTCATCAGTCCAAACCAATATACCACAACTGCCTGCATAACCTGTGGGTGGATGTCACAATGTCAAGGAAATTTCTAATCATAAGTGAACATCACACCTTTGTAGAATATTTTCTATCCAAATATTTCCTCGATGTGGACAAGTGAGCTTCACTCAGAAACTGATCTCCAACTCTTCTCTCAGCATCCCTGATGATCACTGAAGTACCTTCAGCTGCCATTACCAAAATGATACCATGTGACATTGAGGTCATGTCTTCCATCTGGAGCAACCTCAACTCCTTCTTTAAACCAGAATTCGCCTCAGTCACTAGTGGAGTGCAGTAAGGTCTGGCATGGGAAGGTGCTTAGTTTAATTCTGAATAGCAGCTCTGTGTAAACAGTAAATATTTGGGGTTTTTTTCCCAGCCTTTATTTTTGTCCAAAAATAAAATTTTCCAGAGTTCAGTTTGATTGTGGGAGGACCTGCTAAGCCACGGAGTATGCATGTATGGAGACACATATACATACATGCATACACAGAGCCTATTTCTGGCCAATTCTTTTAGGGTATTGTGTACAAAAATTTTGCTAGAACCTGAGCTAGGTAAAGCTTTTCAGTTATAAAAGTAACACACATGACTACGAGTGCTAGCAGAAGCTGTTGCTGCATCACTGATCCTGAATTGGATTCAAAATTGAGTGGAGATTCTTTTTCTGACCTTTTACAAATGCACGGTAAGACTAAGATAATGTCTACCTTGTATCATTTATGACTTTGACTTTGCAAATCTTCCTGCATGAGATTTGAATCACAGGAAACTCATGTTAACCCAACACTGGCTGTGAAGCTTTTAGTTACCCACCATCTGGTCAGCTATAGAGAAAAGAGCCAAATATACCAGCAGTACTCTGTTACCAGATGTTAATTCTTGTCAGTAAAACAGCAGAGAAGCAAAATATTAGTAGTACAAAATAATAGAAAAATGCAAATAATTTACTTACTGTCTTCAAGTTTTCCTTCACTGGAAAAAATCCCTTTTGCCTTTCAAAAGAAAGAGACGATGGACAAACTCCTCATTATGAATGTCATACCAAAATGGAATCATTCAGCAGTAAATCTACATTTACAACATTGCTCATCCATGAGGGTTTTGGACATGCTGGGTGATTTACCTTTTGCATTTTGAGCACAGAAGCGTAGTATTTTGACCACCAGTCAATAACATTTTCAGCGGATTCATCTGCAATTGTTCTTTTTCTCCTCTTTGTTGACCGTCGGATAGATTTGGTCATACCCTACCAAAGAATGGAGAAAACACTTTTGAACTCTGCAACTGATCAAAACTAATCACCTGGTTCATAACATTAAGCATGAACAGATGTATATACAGAAAATTTCAACCTCCAAAACCTAAATAAAATGCAATATGAATTTCTGTTTCTGCCTTTTATTCCAAGACACTTCATCATGATCATCATATTATTATCTCTATAGCTATCTCTATGTTTCCTACTGACAATGCCAAAACTTTGGTCATTGGAGATGCTGCCACAGGAGCAACCCATACAGCAGGCAAATCTACATAGGTAAATAAGTAATGGTGTTTAAAGGGATGCAACTATTCAGATACAAATTGGTTTATCCTCTTAAGTCTGCAAGCATTTTAAGAGTCTATTATTGGAAGTAAAGAAATTATGTGGGTTCAAAGCTGCATTGATAATTAGTTCTCTTGAGGGCCAGCAAGGTAGTGTGGGCGTGAACATCAAAACACAGAATCTCAATCTGAGGTCCATAAGAGATTACCTTTTTATAAGGAAGAGCTAAAGTCTGTGAGATTGCAAGAGAAAGCTGGCAGCTTCAGCTATACTCACCTTCTTTTTCTTCTCTTTCACTGTCTCAGAGGCAGAGTGCTCTGGTTCAGTGGCAGGAAGTGCTCTCAGAGATGGGTCTGGCTCTACCACTGTACTTTTACCCTGCTCCACATCTATGTAGATGTGATCAGCTAAAAATGGTTCTTCGTGGAATAACTCAGCAGGCTGGGATGACTCAGGTGAAGCTGAAATCGAA